CACATGTCTATCATATGTATCGTTATGTCCCGCTGGTTTATTCACAGAAGTAGGTTTGAAAGAGGACGCCAAACGGAGCTGACATACCAGGACTCCTGCCCAATATTTCTGGAAGGAATTTTAGCCAGCCCAGAATCAAGGACTCCAAGGCCGACGCTGCCCAAATATGCCTCTGTGCTCCCTGACAGGCTCATGCCAATGATATGCACAGCAGCCGGGCATTCTTCCCGTCCATCACGGGGCATCATATTAAAGCAGCAAGGGACTCAACTCAATTCTACCCCCAGAATGGTATTGATCATAATCAATGTTACACCTCAGATATAAATCTATAGCCACTCTGGCCGGCTCAAATTTTGATTAGCTGTCGCTTAAGATTAGCAGAGCAGCCGGACTGCTGGCTTCGACTGTGCAGGCGCTCTGCAGCTAAAGACGTTCCCGTTAAGGGAGCGGCCTGCCAATTCATCATCCCGCCTGCCACAGCGCATCTGCATGGCCGGGGGATTCTGCACCGCCTCAGTTCAGTCTGCAAAGTCAACTCTGAAATGACACTTGGCAAATCACCGCAATCTTTGACTACTTTCCAGAATTTACAAAGCAAACATTGAATCGTTTGTAGCCAGCCACGAGAATAGCTGAGATGCTCATGAGCGGGAGGTTTCAGGCTCTACCTGCTCACCGTTTAAAAATAGGCTCCATCTAACGGCTAAAGCATCCAAATCATTTTCAGTATGTCAGATTAATTCTGCTCCAGTCTTCTTCCTGTAAAGGTTTTAGGATCTGACATATGTCTCCTTCTTTCTGTGAGCTTTCTTCTTTCTGTGCCTCTTTTCTATTTCTTAGTTTTTGTGTATCTGACGAAATGGAGTTCAAGCCATTCTGTCAGCATGAAGGATGGAAATAGCTGTTTCGACAATACACATAATTATGAGAGGTTTTGAGTGAGAAAACAGAGGCTGAAGGTTTCTGTCATGATGCATTATCAGCATGACTAATATAGGACTCCTGGTTTGTTAAGGTCGGGGTGCGAGCATGCAGCCATTGCAGTCTCTATAAACTTGACTGAAGGATCATTCACCCCAACCAGGCAACAAACCCCCCTCCTTTATTCACTCCTCAAGAGTAAACATCGTCTGAGGAGTCTGGTCTTTTTTTCCACTCAAACCCTCAAATGAAAGAGTTCATTCTCCGTTTCCTCTCCCTCGCCACTCTCCGTCACACCAGCTTACCAGCCATCCCTCTGACTCACACTTGGACAGATGGATGCAGCTCTTTCCATTTGCTACCACTTTTCCAGGGCCTGTGAGCAACAGGCCGCTGCAGCTCGAGGTTCAGCGTCCACCAAACCCTCCCATCTTCAAGTGTGAGGGCACACCAGGACGGGGCCGCTTCCATCTTGGAACCTGAAGGGGCGTTCGATTGTGTGGGGTTCTGGGACGAATGCATGCACATCTAAAGGAGTCTCAGACCAGCACTCTGACCACACATACTGCGATGCCAACCGTGGGCCTTATCTGCTCTGAACCGAGCCCGAGTGACAGAACAGAGACAACAGAGATTGGCAGGTGAAAGCACCGAGCTGCACCTCAGAGCTGCTTTAGTGAGCCGATGCCATGTGGCCACTGAACAGCGGCGGAGTTAAAAGCCCAGAATCACAGAGTAGAGCAGGTCGGGAGTGACGGAGCCTTTGTTAAGAAAGGAGATCTTTGAATAATCACACAGCCAGTAGTTTAAAAGAAAATGGTTGCTCAGCGTACTAATTATTCAGAGAACTTTGACTAAGATGATACAAGTCTGAGCAGCAGAGAGGGAACTGCTGTTCCCACGTGTGCACATCTCACTTGGCTGTTTCTCGATTGGACGACCCTCCTGGAGCCTTTTGCTCAACATCAGTTACACGTGCACAAGGATGCCTCCAAAAAATAAATGAAGAAATAATAATGATTTTTTTTTACTTTCAGCAATCTGTTGATACACACGCTGCCTGAGAACATGCAGGTTCTGCAAAATGACCATGTTGTTCGTTGACATCTAGAACATGCAAGACTTTGCTGAGGGGTTAACCTACACTACTGCGTTAAGTATTTCCTCTAAATCCACAGAGCTGATATCCCTCTGCACACTGTGCCACATACAGCTTGCTCGCTGTAGCTTTTACAACCTTCATTTGAAACAAAGGCATTATTTTTCAGCACTCAGATGGGTTTCTGATGCTTTTCTTAGCACTTGAGGAGGGCACCAATGATGTTTTAGAGACTAATCGATTACTCAAAGTAAAAAGTGAGCACTCGAGTTGGCACGTTTGACAGACGCCTCACTGTGGTTGAACCCCTCCCTCTAACTTTTCCTCAATCGGCGGTTCAGCAGTGTTTGGGTTTGATACTGAATGTTCCTGTGCAAACGGCTGCTTAACAAAATGCGGTCAGTGGAACACAACCACAGCGGAGGTGAATAAAGACACCGAGATAGGACTTTCCTATTTTTGCTGAATAGAAACAGAGATCCAGAGATGATCGAAAACGGTGAAGCAGAGCTGACAGCAGTTTGGACAAAGCTCCTTACACTCTTTCGCCATTTTTGTCTGTTTATATTGCACTCCCTCGTGAACAAAACTGACCTAAATGCAACTTCCTTTAGAAATAGTGCTGAAGAGCGCCTAAAATCCAACGGATGCAGAATCAACAATCAGTTAAGCCGCAGAGAGACGCCTGCACCAGGCAGACCTGGTCAGAAGGCCAAAGAGGTGTGGATGAGAGTGGGCTGCCGTGGTGGCATCATGGCAAGCAGCAGAGCAGAGCTCACAAAAAGCTGTGATTTCAGGCACCCTTATTTACATACAACCGCCGTCCTCTGCACACGGATGTGCAACTTCAGCCCATCCTCACCCACTGAGCTCATTCAGGAGGAATCAGTTGATTTCAACGCTGACCTGCCGAGAAAAAAGAGCAGCGCGATCCCCTCTGTCTCTCATTATCTGCTGCCTGCTCATCAAACCACCAGCGGCCAGAGAAGAATACCAGCGTACGCTTTGAAGTCAGTGTCTGACTACAGTAAATTATTAGCTTGCCAGCAGCACAGCTTCAAGCCCTTAGGACACCCCCTGGCTGTTCAACGGCGGGTGCCATTACCTGTCATTCCAGCTGCTGGGCATCTCTCATTGAGACTGACAACATATGCTTCGCATCACAGTGGTGCCCACCGTCCTCACCCCTCTGAGAGCTACTGGATGTGGGTGAGTTCATGCAGGCCTATAACAATAGAGGGAGTCTGAGAGACAGGCCGGGAGAGAGCAGCTCTGATTAAATAGCCAACATTCCTTTAAAAGGAAGAGAAGGTAGCCTTCAGGCCCCAGACAAGCCCGCACTTGTAAAATGTGAGGAGAGAAAGAGACGACAAGTGCAGTGCTTCTCTGGTCTAGCAGAGCGTAACAGGAAGTGGCAGGGCCTGCTTCACACGGGGCCTCTGGGGTGCAGCGCCTGGCTGGGAACACGTCACAGTCTCCAAAACCGCCACCTGCAACGCCTTTCACACACAACGCCTAATAACCAGCAAAGCTAAAAGTTATTAGCACTCTGTGGAATGTTAAGCTGCACAGACTGAGCACAGGGTCTGGACCCGGAGGTGAGGAGAATAAGGAAAACCGCTCCGACAACCAGCAATCTGACACATGAAAATGTGAGCTCTTACTGGCAGGCTCGAATCACACCATGTTTTGTTTTTTTTTTGCGCTGGTGTGCAGATAGTGAAACTGTACAAAATGTACAGTAAATTTAAAAAAACGGAAACTCTCTGCAGTGCCCTCCGTTGCACCAGGGAAAGTCATCATCAATCATTGGTAATCAATCATGCGCAGGCACCAATCATTGAACCCTGTCTGCTCTGAAGCCCGCCACTCTTTATAGTCTGATCTGAAGAGGGAGTGATCTAGAAAGGCAGGAAAGGAGGGACTTGCCACCTAAAGCTTCCCTTCATGTTGCTCAAAAACACCGTTGACAAATAAACGTGGAAAAACAAAGGGTTGGACGTGGCAAGGCCCATCTAATTCTTTTTTAAATCGAGAAAGCCAAGAGCACTTGTGATTGTGTGCACTTTGCCTCTCACATAAATGGCACGAAAAGCATTTGTGAGGATGAACACAATGCTTTTTTTTTTTTTTTTTTTTTTTAAGAGGCCTAGATGAGTTAAGTTGGCTCCAAAAAAAACTAAAAGGTACAGAAAGAGTCACACAATCAGGCAAAAGCCACAGACTGAAGTGTCCGGCTGCTGGACTGAACCTGAAGGTACCTCTTATCACCCATGACATCAATAGTGGTCAATATAAATGAGGGTCAATTTGCTATTTTTAATTCCCCAACTGACAAAAAATCCAGATTTGACAGCAGATACATGTCCAAAACGGAATGCAGGAAGGAAACACTTTGTAAGGAAATTAAAGAAAGCAGAAGATTTCAGGGAGTCACCTGCAATAAACCTCCTGTTGACATAACACAACTCCCACTGAGGACATTCAATTGATTTGTAGTTTCGGATAAAAAATATATTATTTTAACAAATAAATCAAATGAGTCGCACAAATCCTGGATGAGTTTGCCAGAAAATACACGACCGTGCTACTTTTTTTCCTTCTTTTTTTTAACTCATAGTCACTCCGCCGCCTCGGTGCCTCCGAGACCGAACACACACGCGGCTCAAACCGACCGGACTCTGCGGCCGCAGAAAAAAAAGGCTGACCACGGGGCCAAAGGCGACCGTTAGAAAGTCGACATTGTCCGCGGGGAGCGAGGTGCCGTGCGGACACCCGAGCCCCGCATTCCTGTACGCGGCTGCTACCGTCTGCTGCTCGGGCTGCGGAGGGGGGTGGTGGTGCGGAGGGGGGTTAGGCAATTACCCTCCGTAAAACAAATATCCACCACGACTTTAAAATAAGCCGGACCCAAACTACGAAAAGCCCCAACGCCTCGTGGTCGTCGTTAGAGTTGTGTTTTAAATGATGGACTTACCCGCAAATACCGAGAAAACGACGGGAGAAGCGTCTAATGGGTTTCCTGTTCGAAAGTTGCCGTGTGTCAGTGGGAAAAAAAACACAGTACGCGGAAGTACACATAGGAAAAAAAAAGTCTCTGGGTAACGAGCAGAGAAAAAAAGTAACAATTTTCTGTCTGGGAATGACCGAAAACACTGTCTTTGGTAATACACAGAACTGACAGAGGTGTAACTCTGCTTATATGTGTTTTTACTGCTTAGCACTAAAATAAAAAAGTAACCCTTGTAAAGGGCTTGTTTCCGCACGGTGTTACACAGTAAGCCGTCCCCTCTGAGCCCTGCGTGGGACACATGAAACATCACGGCCTTTGTTACGCAGTGTATGGCTGCTATACCTCCTTTTTTATTTTAGTTTTTCATCGTTTTCTTTAGGATTATATAGAGTGATAGATTCATGCAGTTTATAAACATATTTTAAGAGCAATTGTCTTATTACCATGCCACTTAGACTAGTTTTAAACTTTTTTTCATATTAGTATTTAATTGAAGAGGACCAATTATTTTCACAACATTCTTCCCATCTCTATTAGTCTTTTATTTTTTCCAAATAAAAGCTCAAGCCTAATTTGAAGAAAACTCAATTCTCTGTCTATTATTGGTTGATTATTGTGTATTGGTTGTCATACACTTTAGCTTAAGTGGTACCTTTCATTTAGGTGTGTAACTCAGGTTATTGTTCAGACAAGCCAAGCTCTTAGCAATTTAAATGTTTTATAAATGCAGGTGTTCTGACATGAAACGTCATGTTATCTATCGATTATGTTCCTCTAGAGTCTTTAGGAACTGCTGAGATGTCACTCTGGGTGAATTACAGCTGTCTTATGAACAGTTGTCTATGAAATCGAGCCAACTGCTGAAACTGTATGTGAAATGATGCCAACTGTTTGCAGAGTTCAGCTCAAATCTCACCCTCTCCCTGGTCAGTGTTTACTATCTGTTCCATCCTCCTGGCGCCACTCTGTGGACAAAAATAGTCAAGACTCAGCCTATATGCATCTTATTCAGCTGGACAGGAGAAACCCATTCACAACCGATCTGGCAGTATTGGTATTTGTGAATCACCATTCAGTGTGTTTCAAAGATTTGTTGATCTATGATCTTTTATTATAATATTCACAATGTCCAGACAGATCTCTTCACACAAGGTCGAAGCATCCCAGACCAAAAAGTTACAATCTCCAGGGCTCTGGAAGTAGTCTTACAGATACAACCCTGTTGTGGAAACCACTTTGCTGGCCTGGGAAAACTTGCTGTGGGTACCCATTTCAATTACCTGAAATCTGTCAGATTACTATACATATTTAGCTTGAAAGAGGTCAGACTGTCTCAGAATCTTTCAAAGTAGTTATTATAACAGTGGTCTTGGCTTTTTTGAAGGCCATTCAAAGTTTTTATTTATCACATTTTTTACAAACTTTCGGTTCAATGTTTTTGCCTTACTCATTTTGAATTTGTATGCACCCTCATTTTATTTTAATGTAGCAAATAAATGTGTAATTAATTTAATGTGAAATAAAAACCATTTTTAAAGCACATGCACAGAAGTTTAACAGCCTTTCGAAACCAACAAGATAGTTACCAGAAGAAACGTTGGTTGAAAACTTGTCATATCTCAGCCCGCTGTGTGATGTGTCCTTAAAAACTGCAGGTGAGAAGCAATTCATCGACTGTTCAATGACGTTTCATGAGAAAAGGTCTTCATGGACGAGTGGCAGTCGAGAAGTCATTCTTAGGGAGGCAACAGGGAGAAAAGGCTGAGGGGTGTGCTGAATAACTCGAGAGAAGTTCTGAAAATCAGTGGCAAAAGAAGAGCTTTTGGATGCCCTTCAAAAAAGCCTAAAGAACTATTCCTGAAGAACAATCGAAGAAATGACGAGAATACTAAGATGGTTCAGGGAATGTGGAAGAAGAAACATGGAGAGTTTCTTGTTTTTGCATCATATTCTATATTTCCATATATGTTTGCTCTGTACTGTTTTCTTTCTATCTTCAGCAGAGGTGCTTTGTCGTATAATAGGAAAACAAATCCTTTAAAACATGAAACTATGCACAGTTGCAACTGATGCCTCATTATCTACATAAACTATAAATATAATTTATTGTAATTTTTATTAAAAATATGCATGACGCTCTCACCATGGCAACTTGTAAATATTTCTTTGAGATCAGATTATTCAATTAATTACTTCATTCTATGAATGAGATTTACTAAAAAGTTCGAAAAGTTCAGCATAAGTTGATAGCTAAATCTAAAATATTGATGTCATCTTTACCAAAACATGCTTTTGATAAAGGTAATCAAGTCCTTTAGAAATGTAGCTTCTACTGAAGTTCTAAATGTTCCTTTATTCCTATGATAGCCAACTGATTAATTCGGTTAAATTCTACAGTGAAATCCAGAGACCATAATAGACATTTCCTGTTTGAGCCCTCCTACCGTCGGTGGATGCTCTCACACAATAAATGCATTCAACAAACTGAACAACAGCCCACTATTCAGAATAATATTTATTGCTTTTGAAGATACTCATCTTTCTCTTCTTTTTTCGCTTTTCACTTTTCCTCTTTACAGTAAAACAAAGAAAGATGACTGGCGAAGTCACTGCATTGACATTTTTGGATGTGTACAAACACATACACACACATAGGAAACAGTATTTACAGCAGTTGGTTAGTGCACTTCGCATGGAGGTGAACTGAGATCTTTCCCGGAACAACTCAACAAACACAGAGCTTTACAATAACTTTACAATAGAGCTTTCACAACTGATCGTTAAAACCGTCACTGTTTGACAAACCATGGGCTGCAAAGGATGACAAACTGTACAGTAGTGCTCACTCTGTGCTGAGAAACTGGGCTGTGGAGAGGATGCTGCCCGTTAGGTTTCTGGAAAAGCAAAGATCCACTGCTTTTGTAAATATTTTTTTTTTCTCTCCAATGTTTAATATTTCGCAGCAAAGCAACTCACCCTGCTGCTGCTGGCATGGACGAAGAGCATTGATTGAAAAAATAATCAAAACACATTTTTGGGGGGGAGGATTTAAGAAAGAAAACGCAAAGACCAATATTATTCACATTTGACTAATTACAGTACAGTTACACTGGGTGAATGCTAACTAGAAAAATAAGTCTACCGGCGTCCTTTTAGAAACCCAGAGGGTTTGTTCACTGGGCATCTGGCAAAAATGACCAAAGGGCACAATTAAACAGGGCTGAGGAAATCAGAGACAATTCCCAGCGTGAACTCTGTCCTCACCGTACAACAACACCTTTAGAGTGCAGATCTTCTTCCATCAATAATTTAAACTTTGATACATCTAAGCTTATAATTTTCCAACATGTTTAAATACTGAATTAAGTCACAACAATACAGCTAAATCTTATCATAGTGAATAATAATTAAATGTCATATACACCATATTAAAATATATACACAGAAATAGTCATACAAATTTTAAATGGGTCCAGCTCGTTCTGCTCTATTTTTCTTTCCAGTAAAAATGAACAAAATGTGCAGAAAACCAGACAAAGTAAATACAGACATATGTAAACATTGAACATAGTTCAAAAATAGAAAACCAAAGATAACAAATGCTTCTTTTTTTTAAAGTAAAGTGCAGAACCAAAGAATAAAGGACAGCAGTTTCGCTGAGGATCGTGGATCGATTCTGTGACTAAATTGTCCACTAGGTGGCATTATTTGCCATCTAGTGGCATCTGAGGCGCTTCCACATGTCATTTTAATCTTGAGAATGATAAGATATCTGAAAACTTTGACCAATTTAAGTACCTCTTACTGTGTTAACGTGAGGATGTTGTTTGCTGATGTTTGGCAAGAACAGGCGAAGCTGTGCTGTAATTTGTCACCTCGTTACGTCTCTGCAAAGATCAGCTGGAGACAAGAAATTAAAGAGTTCTGCTGGCAACCTGGGGCAAACATTTGGTGCTAAAGATCAAAATGGAATGAACAAGATGGTGAAACAGCTGGCCAACATGCTACAAACTGATCTTCTATCATAATCCAAGCTGGGTGAGACGGAGGGGTAGCAGACTGTTGGAAAGTCAAAACACACACGGCAAACAGGCAAACACAATCGCTTTAGAGGAAGGAACCTAAAGGCTTCTCCTGGAAAAAAAAAATATTGATCAAGTATGACAGAACATTGAATCAGTCAAAGCAGAAAAAGGTGTATCAGAAATGACAGGAGAGAAGAAGAGAGTCGCTGGAGCACAGACTGGTGAGGGGATCAGAAAATGTCTTAGCTGTGGATCATTTTGAGAGTCTCTGTCTCCCTGTGTCTGTCATGCAGAGCCATAGAAGGGGAAAGAGATGCAGGCAGGGACGGGGGAGGAGGGCTGATGGGCATCAGGCTCTTCAGGGGGTGAGGAGACACCGGCGGGGGGAGAGAGGTGATGGGTGGCAGCGCGCTGCCCTTCTTTCCATCCAAAAGAAGCTGCGACCGGCTCGCCAGGCTGGCATCCTTGCTGATGCCAAATTCGTGCTCGTTCTCGTTCTCCGAACTGCAGTCGCTGAGGTCTGTTATCTCCAGGTCCGAGTCTGACTCTGGGTCCTGCTTCACGCCCCCCCTCCTCTCTGTGGGGCTCTGCCGGCCTGTCCCGGTCGCGGCCCCGAGGCTGACCGCTCCCAGCCCCAGACTCAGGCCGGAGCCCGGGGGGTTGGCCTCCCCCCGCTCCCGCTCCGCTAGCGTGGCCCCGCTGCCAATGTCTGTCCGGCCCATCGACAGGCCGCCCGGGTACGGAGGCAGGCAGAGTCTGGCCGGCTGACCGCCTGCCGTTCCGTTTGTTCCGCCAGTTTGCCCCGCCGCTCCCCTGTCACCCCCACCGGCCTCCCCCGGGGGCAGCAGGGAGGAGAAGGGGTGAGGCAGCTGGGAGAGACTGCTCTGCAAAGGGTTAGGATAAAACTGGGAGGGGTAGAGGGAGCCAGGGGGCAGTTTGGGGCAGTTATTGAGAGAGAAGGCCCCTGGGAGGTAGGGATTGAAGCCCCAGGGGTAGTCAAAGGGTGGACTGCGAGGGTACGGGCCCAGCAGGGACGGTGGTTTGGTGTAGCATGGGGCACCTAGGACAGAGAAGATCCAGAGATGGAGGTTAACTCTCAGAAGGGGCAAAGGTTTCCTGACATACAACATCCAAGCATGTATGCTAATTATAGTCGGTGGTATTAGCAATTCTAATCAAGGGCCACGGGGGCTAATTCTGGCACAGTTGCTTTCAACAAAATATCTGATGGTTCTTTTTATGCATGCCAGTACTGAGCAGCACACCCACTTCACACAGCCGCAATACAGACGAGAGCACAAAGATCCTGCATTGCAGTAATAAGCAATTAAAGGGAGTTCACGTGTTCCAAATGGCTGATAATCACTCCACGTCAGAAAATAAAGATTTGAAGAAACTCTGATGAGTTGACATGATCACAGTCACATGGCTGAGAAATAATGTCGACCCCATGTTCTGACACGCCACTGTAACCTTCTAGATGAAGCATTTTGAAATTAAATACTGAACCGCGCTTTAATTCAGTTCCTTGTTAGCATCATTCCGTAGCCGAAAAGCAGCTAAGTCTGATTCAATTTTAATGAACAAACAAAAGTATTCCCTCTCAACCTACTCGACTTCCTTCCAAATGACAACCAACTCAGAGATTCTGTCTCTGCTGCACCCTCCACCTCTCCCAGTCTCACTCTTTTTCTCGTTCACTCGCTTATTTACTATGCAGGACTAATTTGACAGTGGTGAAGTCTGTGCGTGCTGGGCCAGGAGTAGCTGGCAGACACATGAATATTGAATCAGTCAGGCAGGCCTCACTTGCTTATGAAAACACAGTAATGGGCGCCCACAGGCCACAAACTGAAGCCTGCACCCTCAATTAGGGCCTTCCTGCCTGGGAAGGGATTAGGACAGTGGGGACACATGGGAGGGAAAGGAGGGTGAGAGGGGAAGAAGGGGGGAATAGGACCTGAGGACAAACAGAGCGGGGAGGAGGGAGGCGGGTTGCAGGTTGTGTGATGAGCGTTGCATCTGTGTGTGAGCACTTGTGTTTACACACTACCTCTCCAGCTCTGCTGATTTGTGTGCATTCTCATGCACATGGAGAGCGCTGCAGCGATACAAAGGAAAGCGGATGCGTTAATTCCCTGGCTGTTCCAGACTCCGCTCCATGGTGCTCGTGTGTCGAGACAAAGAAGGACAAACGCGTAGGACCGTGCCGAGAGGCTGGACGCGCTCGCCCAACTTCCACTTGTTTCTTACCACCTGACATGTATAATTCACAAGCTAACCTGGCCTTTCGCACCTGAAGCACAGCCTCACTGCAGCTGCAACGGGACAGTCATCTCTCTTATTTCCTTTAACAATAAATGTCCATGCCTCCCCATATCCTCATTCCTCTCTCTGCTTCCCTCCTTTCCCTCCACCACCTCCTTTCTCCTTTGTTTCCAGTCTGTTTTCTGCCTGCGCGCTGTGCACGCATCCTCTGCGTGAGCCATCTCCGTCCTCCCCATCGCTCTCTGCCTCTGGAAGGTTTCGGATTTTACACCGGCACAAAAAAAGGCCCAAGCTCACCTGAACTGAGGAAAGGAAAAGTGTCCAGTCTCAGTTTGTCTCCCTCTGCCCCGGGTGCCGTGGTCCCCCGGTCAAACAGGGACGTTCCTCTGCCGGTGTCGGGCAGGCGGGGAAACAGGGACTGTATGGCCTGAGCAGCAGAAAGGGGGAGAAAAAGTGAAAGGAGGAGAAGTTAAAAAATGATTTTTGTGCAGTGTAAATTAAAAGAACGTCTTCGGAACTGTGCTCATCTGCCTTTGTGGCGCGCAGGGTGAAGTCATGTGTTGACGGCAGCAGCCGGCGGAGTGTGATGCAAACAGTGACACAGTGGCAGCAAGGACAGGATAAAAAGGGGCGCCATGGGACGCGGCGTAAAGAGGGAGGCAGGAGGACACAGACGCTCAGAGACTCAAAGGCAGGAAAAGTACAGAGTCAAATGGAGAGCAGCGATTAAGTTTGTGGGCGCAAAGGATAAACGGCGAGAAGAAAGCAGGATTGCGAGCCAGCGTGCGTAAAAAGGACAAAGGACGAGCAGGAGAGACTTGTGAGAGAATGACATCCACTCAGGAAGTAGGGCAGCTGTGTGTGTCTTTGAGTCGGTGTGCGTTTTTTTCTTTTCTTTTTTTTTTTCTTTCAGTTTGAAATATGTTAAAGGAGTGTAGGGCAAGGTATAGTAAGTGTAACAGCTGAATCTTTGGAATAAAGGGTACAATGGGGGGATTTTTCTTCTCCCTTAGCGTGATCGTGGATCAATAGTATCTGTCACCCTGACAGCCCCAAGTTTGAAAGGCAAGACTGTACTTCCAAGCTGCGAGATCTGCGTTGCTTAACAAACCGCATTAATGACCCGTCATTGATCTGATCTGACACGACCCCTTTGCGTTCTATTTCTTTCATTTTCAATCGATGACAGATGGATACGCCATCGGAGACAGGGATGAGAGCAGGAGGGGATAATGTCTTCTTTTGTTTTAAGGGTGAGTTAAAACCGTCCCCCTGCTCTTTCTCCTTCAGATTCTGCATCTCCTTATCCTGTCTTAAGGAGGGCACACACAAATGAGGGATGAGTCTTCCTTATACTTTACTTTCAAGTTATTTTCTAGGACGTTAGTTGGCCAGGATGAAATGATCACTACAAGAGTATTCACGCTCAAGTTAATAAAAGTACTTTTTATATCATTAGTATGGTGACATCCGTTATTCAGAGTCAAATATTAAACATTTAATTGCTTTATTAATTTCTCTAAATAAGTTTAGATTTCTTTTTAATATCTAACACTTTAATAGATATACAAGGAAAGTCAAAGCATTATTTTTTTTATGCAATTCAGGACATTGAGGTTCATGCTGCGCACTCTCTCTCTGTTCTGATACAATTTATCTCGGTTCGCTATTATAACCACCATTATAGACGATGAATAAAAGATAGCAAGGATGAGTTCCACCACTCTGTTGTAAAAACGGGAGTACACAGCAGGGGCCTGAGAAATATAACAGCAAAAATCACAAGGGGAAAGTGGATTTTAGTTGTCGGAATGAAATCGTTGTTAATAAAAAATTAAGGTGTGGAAGAAGCTGTTTGGCAGTATTTGACTCTTTTTTTCTTTGCTCAGAGTTTCCCTTCTTTGTATAGTAAAATGTATTTGTACCACTTCCTCATTTTTTATATCTCTTTATTGACAGCTGCTAATTATGTCATTTAGATTTCAGCCTAAATGAGTTTAATTTCCTAAATGAGTCAGTAATATTTCTTGTCATAGCTGTCAAACTCTCCATCTTTCATACCTCTGGGCTGCAGTCCGGTGTGGCAGTGCTCCCATTGAAGTGGTTTTGGGCCAAAAAAAAGGGGGAGTTGGCCATGTCCAGGATGGGGTAGTTCACCAGCACCACCTTGCTGAAGTTAAACTTGTATGTAAAACGCTTCCCTTTGGTTTTGTGCAAAATCCGCTTGTTGTAGTAATACCTGCCAAGGAGGAGGTGGGGATATTGATAGAGGGATGGAGAGAGGTGATAAAGGAAAAAGGAAAAGAGGAGGAAAGGATTATTCTAATGCTCACATCAAGGTTCTGTGTTTCCTCACTGTAAGAAAAGAAGAAGTAAACAACTTCACCGCTGTGAGGCAAAGAGCTACACTGATTTCCCACTGTTTTTATTCATCTCCTCTTTCCTCAAATCAATTAATGTCTCACTGCCTTTATTCAATACAATGTGCTGTTTTAAGACAAAGTGTTGCATTTTCCTGGGCTGTTAATGCACAAAAACAGGACAATTCAATAGGCCAAATTCCTTTTGAACCTTCGACACAGACATATAAAAAAACAACATTCATTGGTAGCAACCATCATGATAAAATGTAAGAATTACGTATATTATCAAGATATTCACTTTTACATGATTACACAAGCTGATTTTACACTGAGGAACAGCAGTTTGACATATTTAAACGCTATACAGCTCTAAAGTAAAGGAAGTATGATGAAAATCTGGGAGAAAAGTTTTATAATTAATTAAATTTTAACATTCCCTAATCTCTAAACCGATCATGCAAATGTGCACGACACCATGAAGCTAACGCCAAGTCCATAAACGATGCACATTTACAAAGAGATCCAGTCTCCAAAGTAACGACCTGCGCTGTCTCCCGCTGGGCATGTCAAGACGTCGCCATGCCAGTTTCCTTTACCACCCACAGAGGTGTCACAATGTGTGTGTGGCAGGAAGCTGGTTTTATCGGTGGTAAAGGAGGAGAAAAAAAACCCCAGAGCCATCTGGCCCAGGTAAGAGGCTGGGCTAAACCCAAGAAAAATAACAACACGAGAGACACGTTTAGATCCGAGAGAGAATTTTTCTGCGTCTTCAGGTCGCTTTGTGTCCCGGGCATGGCATTACTGGGACTACACAACCTCAGCAGTTAATGCTGGGGAGCAGAACCTCATTATGCAGACGCCCTATATCAACAAACACAGCAGCATGTACATATCAGCATGTACCCACGGTGGCGGAACCCAGTGCAATGATGTGTACATGTTTTGCTTTGCATGGCAATTGTGCCGTGGCCCTTAATTGAGCAATTAAGTAAGGCTAATTAAGAAGGCTAATTGTGGCCCCAGCCAATTCATAACAATTAGACTCCGACGACAGCCCCCATTAAACAGGGGCCAAAGGAAAGCAGAGGGGGGTGCTGTTGTAGTGGGGGAACAACTTGGGGTATTTGTATAAGAAAATTATGAGTATAGGCTCTACTGCAAAAGGTACACACTGTGAACTTGTTTTAAGTTATAAGTGGGCAATTTTTACCGCTCCAAAGAAGTCTAAGCAATTTCCCACTGTGGCTTAATTTTAAAATCCCTATTGAATTTTTTATTCGGCAGCTCAATGGTGAACTTTCCATTAGGATGTCAACAGATAAGGAGAAATTGAGGGCATTGATGTTCCCCTGGAAAAGTTCCCCCTTTATCTTTCCATTTTCACTCCCCCCCAAAAATAAGATGTCAAATGAGGATTCACTCAAACAAGAGTAAACAAATGACGTGAACTGTGTGGCGATAAACATTGCGACTTATCTAACATTAAAACATACCGCAGTGCTCTGCTCAGCTTGTCGTAGTTCATGTGAGGTTTGCATTTCCTTATCCCCCAGAGTCGGGCCACCTCGTCTGGGTCTTTAATGACAAACTCCCCGTAATCTCCCTGCCAGGCGATCACACCCTGATACTCCTCCTTCTGCAGCAGCTCCAGGATGAAGTGCCACAGCTGGATCTGCCTGGAGCCGGGACTTGACTCGGGCTTGTAGGCCCAGTCCGGGAAGGCGAACCCTGGGCAGGGGGAGCAGGAAGAAGAGGTTAAGGCCTGTCGTTTGCCCCACTGCTCGATTGGGGAAGGGGGGTAGATTGCTGTCTGAATGACTGATGAGTGATGGAGGTGAGGGATGATGTGTTTAATATCACAGCACGGGCCTTGAGCAATGTTAGTCTGTGCTAATGCCCTCTAGCCTCAACAGATTGGTCAGTGGGATGATGACAGCTCGCTGGGGGAGATCTGATTGATGCTGCTTGGGTCTGAATTTTAAAATCTGTACTGTATGCACATCATAGATGAAGTTGGGTATCTTTTTGACTGAGCCCAGAGAAAATCTGGCTTGAGCCGGCCTTACGAAAACATAAGACATAGAGCCAATTACCACCAGAGACTGAGTGTGTTTTCTTGTGTGTGTGTGTGTGTGTGTGTGTGTGTGTGTGTGTGTGTGTGAGAGTTTTTTTTAAAAGGTGGAATATCACATACACATTTCAACATGTAATTTTGATGATGATGATGATGGTGATGATTTTCAAGTTCAGATCTTAATTTTACTTTGTCAAGGGAGCCAGATTTAAAGATATCTTTGGGGAGGGATTCATGCAACAAACGCGGTTGATACTGACCTGGTGTCCAGAGGGCGGGCACAGGGGGGAGCAGCAGATCACTGACGCAGTTGCAGTCCATGCCTCGACAACACCTGATGCAAAACAAAGAGGAGGTTTTGGCTTCTGAACATGGAACTAGGGGGACCTGATGCCATTGGATAGAAGAAAATATTTAACTTATGCCAGAACTAACTAGATTTATTCCAGCGAGTTGAGGCTGAAGTGTAAACTTTGTTGAAAATTGAGGTATTGCGTAAGGGTCTAAAGGCGCATCGTGAGTTCAAAATGATACCTTGAATCGATGTGAAATACAGCGAGGTTATGTTTCATATGTCTTTGGTGTTTGATGGATGTGATCTTGTATGGCCACCTGAGGCTGTGTCTGATGCAAGGTGGTGGACATCCCTATAGTGCATGTCTAACTGGCAGAATTACATAAACGCTTGAAAACCATCTGAAAATCTGGGCCATATTATACATTAAAAATTGTATTTTAAATATATAATATGAGTTGGTCAGTTCTTTGTAAACTTTATTCTAAAGTAGAAACTGCACCCGAAGTCAAATATTTATATGCGCAGTCATGGGCACTCAGGGTCAGATTAAATAGTCTGTTTTTCAATCTAAAGTGAAGAATTTTGGCGTATTTTAAGTTTATCACTAATACTGATTTGAATGTTACTGTGTAAAATATGGAGTCTGGGGGTTCTGACTACAGAGTTTGGTCTCTTTTTAAACAATGTCAATTTGCTTTAAGGTACCACGGGTGCAATACTGCCAAATGTAAAGGCGTAAGAGACTGCTCATTCCTCGGGAAATTGTTCTCCTGAAAATAAGCAAAATAACCAAAAGAAAAATCCTGCAATAAAAATGGGAACGAAATACCAGCTGATAGCACAAAGAGAAAAGTAAAGAAGATGTATTTGAAGTTTAATTCTGGGTAAAGTCCATACAAAAAGAAAAGCATGCGAAAACTGGTCTTACATTCTACCATAAAGGAGGTGTGGTGGCCAAAACTGTGACCTGACACAAGTTGGTAATAATGGAGATGCTATCTTTTTGGAATATCTCATGTGTCACTTTGTTTTATTTCTATTCACAGACCGGAGCAGCTGAAATGAAAGCACCACAGTGCGGGAACACACCTTTGATTTTCCCTCCCTCACACAATCATACATGCAAGGGAAGAGGCGGTGTGCGGCTTTATTAAATGAGAGCATATAATGATAACATCTACTTAATAAATGCATATAGACATCTACTTGACAGGTCGACGGCGCAGAGGTACCAGTATCTCCGTGACCAACGAGACAGGATCTAGTTTGGATATTGCAGTTTCATCAGGGTTGTTTTACAAAGCTCAGATGGAAGAGATGCCCTTGCTGCTACACTGGTATCTTTAATGCTGCCCTCTCTATCTCTCCCTTCGCTCTCTGCCTCTATTTAATTATGCTCTGTGAATTTTGGATTTTCCCTCCAGCATTGAAATGGAACGTTAATTATTAAGGTGTGTTTGTATAAATTATTATTGCTAACTCCAGGCATTTCTCACTCTCTGACAGACTCTGGCTTTCTTTCTGTCTCTTCGTCGCTCTTGCCCTGCTTCTAGCTTTTGGACCGTAGCCCCTCTTGCTCTCCTCCTGCTCTCCATTCTCCTTGTTTGTCCGAGCCGCTCCCTCCGTCTTCAGCCGCCACCTAACCCATCTCACTCAGGTTTCCCCCCCCCCTCTCCTCTCTTCATTCATGTTCGTATTCCTTCAACTGTCCAAGTCGTGCTCCTGCTCGTGCCCAGAACAGCTTTATTTTCACACAAAGCTACACGTTTACATCTGGGCTTTCGAACAAAGCTCTGTGAACGCAGTTTTGATCATTCAGAGTTTGTGGTTGCGAAATCATAAATCATTCTTCCTATGATTAGGAATGATTTCAAAAGCGCATTCTTCCATTAAATTGTTGACATCTAACTAATCCATCTGACTGAAGGCCTCTGCAAGGACAAATCTTTGAAAAAATTAGATATTCTTTGTGGTAGAGGTTGTAATCCATAAGTTCCCTCTTCCCTGTGGGCTACAGGTCATCAATACTGCATCATTTCTTTTATTTGCCATATTCTCATGGTCCACGGCATGTATAGGCCCATGTCCTCAGAGGAAACTATATGCGTTGCTGCTATCAGTCAGGGTTTCTCCAGCTATCTTTCGCACCATCCCGGCACCACCTGAAATCCATACCCATCCTCCCTCTTTCCGACCCAGCAGCATATCTATACAGGTGAATCCTCCTTTCCTATTTCCCACCTTCTTCCTATTCACACACACTCACCTATCCTCTGTCTTCTCCCCTTCCCTCCTGCCCCACCCACCTCTTTTTCTCCTCAGCTCTGTGTGTTTTGCTTCGGCACAGTAATTTTCCGTTTGATTTCGGAGGTAATGCATTTTTTACAAATCAAAGAGGAAGCCAGGCTGCCCCCCCCCCCCCCCCCCCCTCCTCTATCCATCTATCTATCTATCCATCTCTCTCTCCCTCTCCTTTCTTCGCTCCTGCTTTCCTCCCTGCCCAGTCTCCCGTTCTCGCCCCCTTCGGCCCCCCAGGCCAGAGAGGAGATAAAGGAGCCCCCATCATTTCCTTGTTAGTTTTGATTTGGGCAGCACAGGGCTTTCAAGTTCCCCCCATCACCCCCAGAAACATTATAACTAGCAGCCCAGGGAATACAGTTCCTGATACGCACACACCCACACTCACACACACACACACACACACACTCACACACACACACACATGCACAGAGTGCCAGATGCAGACACTCAGATTGTAATGGACTGTAGAGTCTCAAACAGATATGGCACAAATACGCAGGCATTCAGGTAGCGATCGCACACACAGTGAGAGGCAGCACGCCAAACAAGATATGGAGCCCATAGATATTGACTGAGGCCCAAGCCCAAAGAGAGTGTGCACTTTTCTTTCACCGAGCACACAAGTGGACCGATAGGGGAAGAGATGTGGGCAGACAAAAAGAAAAACACACGCACACAAATTGTTTAGCCTGTTGTGCAAAACAAAAGGCCTCTTCCACACAAAAGTTCATCCATAAAGCCCGGAGTGGATGATGGATCACTCATTCAGCAGAGTGACAATAGTAAGCACACACAAAAGGGGCAGCCGGCACATCTGGCGACTACGTACAGTCATTTACATTACAGCTGGAAAACCTTCTGGTGTGTTTGTGAGTCAGAGAGTTTTGATAATTCATCTCGCCGGGGGCTTTGTGACAGATTCCTCTGTCTTCAGGACACAACACGAACACATGTGCTCAGGAGATCAAAGTAAAAAGGCTTTGCTCGTCGTGCAAACATCTAAAAAAAACACATTGGTGTCATGGTCAATGCAACCGAGTGATGAGGAAAAAACTGTCTCACAGCCTGATGAGCTCTGCTGGGGAACTGTTCACTTAGGGCTAAACCACCAAGCTGCTGGACATTAAGGGCTGTCGCTGCATTTTATTGGCCATCATCAAATCGACCTCCACATCTGGAGGACCGACGTGCTGGAGGACGGTGCAACACACGGCCAGGTGGAGGAGCCGGGATCCAGTCACCAGTTTCCTCTGAACTTTAATAAAAGTTTAGGAATTTAGGATGCGGCTTGTGTCTTCGCACATTAGAAGCTCCTTGTCCTAGGTAAGTTTTTTTTTTTTTTTTTAAAGGACATGGTTAAAGTAAGGTATCGATCTTAACCTACCAAATTCATCCTGCTCTGCCAAACAAAACGTGCTGGACATACCAACCACACATCCTTCTAAGACACTTCGCTTTTTTAAAGTTCAACTAGACAGAGTGAGACAAAAAGAAATTGTGTCCATCGGGATGAATAAAAAAACGTTTTGTCCCAGTTTCACAGTTTTCTGTATTGTGACACCATAAAACAGTAGAGACTCAAACTGTGTGAGAAAGTGCAACGCAGCTTTAAAGCGACAAAGTAAATTCCAGCCATAAGCTCCGACCAAATACATGTTAGAGTTAGGACATGAAGGTGTTTGTGAACTTTTAACTTGTAAGCTCATTATAAAGTGCACTAAATAGACATGAACAGCTGTCAGACTATTTTTATGCTATCTATTATGTTTGGGCCCATCAGCAGAGAGGTAGAGCTTGTGCAGCCTGGGTTAGTGGGCCACTGAAGGGAGTGAATAGGGAACTGTGTGAGGAATATACTTTAAGAGTGTTTTAGAATTCTGCAGAGTGACTGGGGTAGCAGAGGGAAGGGGGGCAGCTTGACATTCAGGCAACATTATGTCTCCAGTGCTGTCTAAAGAAGGAAAGAGTGATGGGTCGCGATATAAAAAGATAGAAAACTGTGAGAAACACGAAGAGTCTGGCCTCCCCGCTTTCTTCTTCCCCAAGATGAAACGGACTCTGTACATCTGTCTCATCTTCCTTTTTTTGGTTGCCCCTGAAAAAGGCCCAACTGAACTTTCTCCCTCTCAATTCCTTTCTGCTCGCCTCTCTCCTGCTATCTCTGTCTATCCCCCTCTCTCTGTTCCTCTCCCTGGTTAGCTCTGACACACTGGTCAGCCTCAGGGTGGAAGAACAGAGGGACTCTGCTATGGGTTTGTTAGAGGAGATGGAAAGGAGAGAGGAGCAACGAGGAGGGGAGAGACAGAAGTGAGAACGAAGAGGAGGAGGAGGAAGCAGGGAGGAGGGGGGGTTGCTCAGGGAGAAGGAAAAGACCCTGTCTCCAAAAGAGAGAAGTCAACATTAGATACATTTCTATCCCTAATGAGGCTCACATGTATACAAAGTAATACATGAGATAAAGGTGTACTAAAAAAATCACTATGAATGTCATTCATGGGAAGTATTTTGGATTTTTTTTCCGGTCCTAAGAAAATCAACAACTTTACCTTCAATTAATTTAACCCTAATTTAAAACTCACCCAAAACACTACACAGAGTGCAATGAAAAAGCACCAATTTGATTTAAAAAGTAAATAAATAAAAAAAGACAACAGGAATCAGACTGTGTTGTTCAGATGTGGTCTTCCATGCACACCTCTAAAATCTTATTGTGTTGGAGGCAAACTGACCACACTGCCGTCATTAAAACGCTGCAAGACAATTTTCTATATCGAGAGCGTCAAGCAGCCACCTTTTCCAAAGCTTTGTTGTCACATTGCGACTTTTGCAGCAGCTAAATTTCCACATGATCACTCCTTTGGAGCTCAAACTCTATACACCCATCATCCTGTCGTATGAGAGGGGGAGAAATCAGTGCTGCGGGTGTAATGGGAACAGGCAGCAGTGCAGCACTGTCAGTGTATTTAACCAAGATGTATAGTTACAGGAGCAGCCAGGTTCCCTGCCTGTTCTCCCACAGAGCGCCCATTACTGCACACTGCAGGGGCAAAACTAATACCCAGTCCTCCGCGCCCAGACAGGCTATCATCTGACAGGAGCGCCAGGCCAGAATTCCATCCAGTCAAATTCAGTTTGAGAGATGCACTGCAGTAGTGGTATCGCGATTGTCAGGACGCTGTTTTGACCACAGTTTTCTTTTTCTTTGTCTGGTCACCGCTGAGATAAAAAAAAAGGGGAATAGAGACCCAAAAACGAAAACAAAAGAAATCTCGAGCACCCAACCGTGAGCGAATGGGAATTATTTAGCAGGTATATGGAGTAGTGCTCGGAAAATAGTTGGAGCATTAGGGCTGAGTCTGTTCAGCTGACATGTTGGTTTCAGGTTTATTCTAAGAACATCTTTCCCATTTGTTTCAAGCCCATCATTATAACACTACCTCAACATCTCCATGTCATTTTAGGAAAAATATCATTCTAAAACTACATGTAAATGTCTGGAAAAAAATTATTACAAACAGGAATATTTTAAATTACTTTTTTCCAAGGTATAGAAAAAAACATGTCTGTTATTTCAAGACAAGACAATTAATTTGAATCTATTTCACAAAGTATTTCTAGCAATAAAGAAAGAATATAACAGTTCTATTTTTTTTCTTTTGGAGAAGAAGGCTCATGAAAAGTGCTCACTGGAGCCTCTAATAAATAAAGGCGCCCGCTTTTTCAGGTGTCCATGAACTCCAACAAGTTTAAGGGAAGGTGAGTGATGATGAGGATGTCGAGCGCGTGAAACGGTATTAGTATGATATAGAACGCTGGCCTTAAGAAAATAAGGAAAAGAAGGGGAAAAAGGATGAAGAAAAAGTATCAATCGATAGGGTTAAATTATTCATCGTCATTAATTATCGATCGCTCTCCGCTGCCGGCTCGTCCGCCTCGCGCCAGAGTTGAAAGGAGGGAAAGCGCGCTTTATTAAAACCGGCTCGAGCCTCATTGTTTCATGTCCCGCGGCAAAGAAAAAGCTCGAGTTTGGCTCTGCCCGCTCCAGTAGGAAAATATACACTCGTGCACGCGCGCACACACACACACACACACACACACACGCCCTGCTCCACTTCCCTCCGATGCCTCTCCTCGCCTCACTTTGCCTCTTTCTCTCCTGGCGCGCGGGAGGAGCTTTGGGGAGCCTCGCGCGGTGTTCGCGGGGCGGCTGTGTCTCGCGCGGATCGATGCGGGATCAATGGCTCGCGCTGACTAATAGCCAGAGAGCGCCTTTGATCTCGCGGCTGAGAGATCA